TTTAAAAATCATTAAGGGAAATTTGACGTCACAGGTAAACAGTCGGATTCCGGTGGTCGAGACGTAACTTAAATTTGCATGAATCAATTCTTTCCCCTGTTGACTTGGAGAACTCGACGCTGTTTGCCTACACTTTAGAACGTTACACAACCGTAACGGCGAGTTAAGTACCCAAAGCAATGGCGAAATTACAACGTCCAAAAGTGGTTAAGCGTTTGAGCTGGCAAGACATGTCACCCGCTAGCCCAAGAATTCACTTAACAAGACGAATTGTACAGCTTCAAGGTAACAAAGCCTCTGCTGACATCCTCGAACAAGCCAAACAAATATGCAATGATTACGTTGAGGCTAAACTCGAGCGCGAGGGCATCAAGAATCGTAGTTTGTCATTCGAGTTTTCCAATTCGCAACAGGAGGCCTCTCAAGTGTCAAGCCGCGTGCAAGAGGTCGGTGAGCTCTTAGAGCTGTGCTATCCTCGACTATACAGCGACATTTCTAGTCGTGTCAACGTTCCTTTCAGCAGCGAAAACGTCGTCCACGAGGTCTTCAATAACGTGTCGTCGGAAATCTTGAGCGATGGATTGAACTGGGCGAGAATCGTGGCTTTGTATGCATTCGCCGGGGCTCTAGTCGCCGAGTGTTGCAAAGAAGGTCGCAACTCTTTCGTTCTTGATATTGGGAACTGGATGTACGAGTTTGCTGCACTGTACATGGTCGACTGGATTAAAAGTAAAGGTGGATGGGTAAGATGAATCTCTTTGTCTTGGAAACTGCAATATTAAAATTTGTTTTGAAACCGGGAATGCCGCGAGCGTATAAAGATTATAAAGCCCTTAAAGTTTACAAACAGGAAACTGCGGATACCAACGGAAATTCAATTGGCTTTTTATTGAGATTATAAATCTAAAATGTATTGGCTTTAGATCATGCAAAATTTTGCTTATTAGAAAGAGTCTTTATTACATCAAAATTGCTTTGATATGTAAAAGTGTTTCTTTCACGCCTATTATTTGCAAAGTATTGTTTCATAGAGTGGAGCTCGCCTGCATCAAAAGGCTCGGTAATTTAACCCCATTTGTTTGTCGATTGGCTCTGTTTGTCCAGTTTTATCCTGTCGCCAGAAGGATTTGCTTATAACTAAATAAACATTCCTGTATATGCATAAGAGCCGAACTATCGCTTTTGTATATGTAAATCCATTCAAGTTACTCAGTTCAAGCTAGCAGTTGCTTGTTTCTTGTTCAAACTAGTATTTTAAAGGGGCACTGTCATAGGCATGACTTCCCGAAGTCCAAACCAGAAAGATATATTTTGCAGAATTCCAGTGGTGGAAACCTACCTGTATTGGTTTTGTTTTGTTATTAAGCTCGCGTTTACTTAAGCGATAAAGGAAGTGCTATAATGAATATGCATACAAAAGGTTGTGATTGTAAAATTGAACTGAAGCCTGGCTAACTAGTGTATGTCATATTCTGTGGTTTTGCCTTGCAAAAATCGCTGAAAACTAATTAAAACTTGCTCTCCTTGGCATCCTTATCTTGTTACTCAAAGAGCAATTTTTGTTCATGCGAAGGTACTCGGTCATAATTTTAGCACTGTTTTAACCAAAACTCGCCACAATATATTATACGTGTATATTATAAGGTGCCATTTTCACCTCTAATATTCTGTGACTTTTTTAATTATGAAAAAAGCATTGCTGAAATAATAATGAGGCAGGCCAAAGCCACAAGATTTCATCACTCTAGATGTTTTTTTTTTTTTTTTTTTTTTTTTACGCGCGTACACAATTATCGTTCATAATTTTTGAAAACATAGGCGCGGCACACTAGTCATCATAAAAGTGCTTAGTTTTTTAAAACATACATTTTTTTTCCAGTAAACGCATCTTACCTCGGTAATTTGCACGAAATCCCTTGTACTGTTTATTTTGGGCGGCATCGGTTGTAAATCTCACATAAAGGTTGTTTGATGAGCTGATGAGCGGAAGAGGTCGCTTGGACCCACTAAATCGTCCAATCACCGGAGAGGAGAGTGATGTGCCATCATATACAGTTACGTAATCGTCATATAACTCGGTGTCAAAACGATCAAAGGTGAGTTCCACCCATGCATTTGAAGTTATATTCCACTGACANAAACGCTCCATAAAATCTTTATCCCTATGGTCTTTCTGGCGTTGAAATCGAAGATGGCGGGTCTCAACACCGAGAGATCATTGGGCCGCGGCCGGGCCGCGGTTAGTTGGCGCAAATGGAGTTGTTTTCAATTGCAGTTCGCGTCATACAACCACTTGGACCAAAAGAACACAGACAATCCAGTGAACCAATCAAAAATCGAGGCAAGTACATGTAGCCGACGGGAAGCGCGAGAAACATGTGCGAGAGAGTCACGGTTGGTTTTGGCTATATTTCTTCGTATTGGTTGAGAGAGAGAGTGGCGCGAGATTTTTAAACTAATCACTGAGAGTAGTAAAGCAAAACCAGCCAAGGAGAATACTTCCCCCCTTGGGCTGGGGGTTACATCCTTATATGGGCTATATAGGTATGTGCGCCCCCAAAGAATATGGTTTTCTAGCCGTTTTGATCACAAATAGGGTGAGGGTTTTAAGAAGCGGGCAGCACACCCCCACCCATGCCAGTTTTTCTGGGAGTACCCCGCCCACGGGTGAAAACCGCTCTCGATCTGGAGTGAAGTCATGATGGGTGTTCAACTGTTAGATATGTACCTTGTAAGTCGGTTAATACCGTCACCATTTCCCCGGCTAAAAATCCCCAACTCCGCGGGCTGAGCTCTCCAGTGTACACGTTTTCTTAGTCGCGGTAGCCACCCGTACGAGTTTCATACGAGGTGCATTATAGCTCCGGTGAAACAGCAGCTTCTCTGACATAGGATTCGAGGGACATTCGTACCATCAACAGCAACAGACTAACGTAACTCCAACAGTATTTATTGTTATTGGACAGAAGCGGAGCTACATTACATCTTACTCAAATGGAGTTAAATTTGTTAAGAACTAGAAGAACTTTCAGCTTGAGATTAATACAATCTACTACACAGTGAACATGCACAACCTAAGACTACGTCATTGTTTTACGAAAATCAAATGCTTAGAACAAACTTGTATTTGCCATAATAATGAGTTGATACGAGCCTACATTACAAGGTGGCACATCGACAACTCAGAGAAAATCAAAGCTAGTCATTAAGGTAATTTTGTTCTGAATTTTTTAATCTTTGTTTTGCTTTGTTTCACTTACATTGCCCTCTTCTCCGTTGCTCTAGGAATAATTTTGATTCTTCTCTAAACTACACGTTGTCCTTATTGTTAACCTTACCGTGAAATGCACCACGTTGCCCCTTGCCAAAGTTTGTGATTGACATTTGATAAAAAAAAAAAATTCCATCTGTACATGCACAGGAATGTTGTTTTTTTTCCCCAGTAATTTAGTCTGAGGGTTCCACCTGCTACATTGGGTAGTTCCAGAAAATATCCATACCTCCCCCACGGAAGGGATTTTTTCCAAGATGCCCCCACCCCTCTGGAAATTCCAATTAAACTTCATACATTCCTTTAAATTTTTTGGTCTTAAAGAACCCCCCACCCCCCAGGAAATTCCAATCCCTTCTGTGGGGAGAGTATGGATATTTTCTGGTACTGCACATTTTGGATTGACTGATGAGGGTGAAAAAACTAGCACAGGTGTCAGAAGTTTCAAAACCCAATAAAACACTCTACCAGGTCGAAATGACTCAACCCCTTTTCACTGCAAGATATCAAGCTTGTTTCCCATTTACAGGAAATTTGGGCAAAATTGTGGTTGGAATTCAAATGGAACACAACTTTTCAGTTCAGTTGACTGAAAGTTTCTGGGTAAAACAGAACTTCTGAAAAGCATTAGAAATAATAATAATAATAATAATAATAATAATAATAATGATGATGATGATGATGATGATAATGATAATGATTATAATAATAACGATAATTACAATAATGTAGTGTATTGTAACTAGGTTAAGTATTGTGTCATGTTGTAAGTAGAGTAAGGCAATGTAAGTAATTATGTGTTTAGCAATAAATAATAATAAAAAAAGAACTTCTGAAAAGGTTGTGTTGTTTTCCTGTTGGGCCGTTATGACTGGAAATTTGCATTCCAATCACAATTTTTTGTTTAGACCAGTTTTGAGACTTTCACAATCTAAAGCCTCAACCAAAATGACAGGATCTTTGGATTTCAAATGGAACATGTTTTTCTTGAACAATAATTCCCAACCAAAGTTTTCGGGAACTTTTTAATCTACTGATCTGAGTGAGCTATGATATCAGTGGAACAGGGGGTCAAGCACTGTTCCAATAACAAGTGGCACATTTAGAGAGGTTTTCTTCTTAGAGAAGTGTCTGCCTAGAGGAATCTACAATTGTTTGAGGTTTGAGGTGACATATTAAAGTATGGTGCAAATCTTCTTCAAAATATCAATATACATTAACAAGGGACCTAACAGACCCCTCTCTGAGGTGTTCAAAACTTCAATGAAGGGTTAGGGTTAGGGTTTTTTTCTGTGTTACAAATCTCAGAGGTAGATTAATGTATCCCTTTGACAGACCCTCAAAGCTGGTCCCAAGTGGCTTGCTTTAGAAGGGACACAATGTACCTGCACAAACACCTGACAAATGCAAAGCAATCATGACAAACTGTCTAAATTTGAAAATAATCATACAAAACTGGGACCAGAAACTTGGTTTACATTACTTAACATAATTTGAAGCCAAAGAAAAATGTTTACTAACTAAAGGTGATATGACGATCAGATGAAGTCAACAAATTTTTGGGTTAATTACTAGATGACCTAAGAAAACACAGCACTATTCCTTTGCAAGCGGTGTTTGCTTAAGTTGCAGGAAAATTGATCGCATGCGTGATACATCCTTGGTGTTCTTTGTTCCTTTTGGATTAAAGTCGCAATTGCGGCAGACTCGTTCCCAGTCATGACCTGGAGTGGAAGAGTCATCACGATCAGCCACAAAGGCTTCCTCGTCCGCCCTGAAAAATGTTTTAACAGTATTGTAAGTGAGGACTTTGTTAGGGTGTGAACACCTTCACTGAGCCACTTAGAATGACCTTGTAGAACACATATGAAGACATTAATAACCCATTTTCGTATTCTCCACATTGGATTGCAACTAGCTTGCAATAACAAGTTTCCAAGTTAAATTAACAAGAAGAGAATTTGACACCAAGGACAAGATCTGTTTAAGTTGGCAGCATAAGAAATCAAGGAAAACAGACCTTCAGTTGCCTTTACTTGGTTTCAAAGTTAGTTGTGAATATATTGTGTGGATTCATCAACATCACTGGCCATTTTAGGAAAATGTTTACAACCCAATTTCTTCAATAAACATTGATTGGTCAATTTTTTCCCAAGTGGCTGGGTTCAAGTAGTTGCACTGTAATTTCCCTTACCAATTATCAAATTGTCTTATTTTAGCCCTTCAAAAAAAGATTTCTGTGGCAGCCAGTGTCACTAACATACCTATTGCTTGTTTGTGTTTTTCCTAATTGTTCATCTCGTCTCTCATACCAGTCATTGAGTTCCTTTTTAGCTTGTTCGCGCCATTCTTGTATTTCAGATTTTTCCTCACTATCCATTTTGTCAAGAAGAGCTGCTTTTTCTTCTCTCCATTTTCTACAAAAAAGATGTATGTATGCTGGTAAGCAACAAAACAGCAACTGCAAGAGGTGGTTTAAGTAACACTGTCTTAATTCTGGCCTGGATTGAAGTTAAACTAAGTTTTTCAATCTTTTTTAGCCTTTTAAAAGCTGAGTATCCTCTTCTACTTACCAATTAAAATTTTTTTAGTACTCCTGGAATCATATCCTATCTTCAATGGTGATAGCTTTAGTAATTTGAACCATAAATGCAAAGTTTTAAGGAACAAAAATGTTCTATGACCACAAACTGGGTGATGGTTTTACTGCCTATGTAACACCACCCCACTCGAAAAAACTGAATTCCACAGACTACCAAATTGAAGAGCAGTAACATGACCTATCATACTGAGAGTCCACACAGTTGTTAAGATGCAAGTGTTCGCAAGCATTAAAACCACACCTCCCACGGGATGAGAGGGTACGGCAGTTATCACTTGAGTGTTGCTCTTGCACCAGGTAAATGCATGCCAAGCTTAAAATGCCACTGTTTGGACAATCAGCTGACTATGGTGCTTCTTAATGAAGATACAACATACATGTACCATTTACGATTTTACCCATTAACATACCTAATGATATTTGCACAAATTCTAATTAATTCACTACAAGTAAAACAACTTTTAACAAAACAAACCTCACCTGACAGATTCTGGTTCTGATTCTCTTGGGAGTGGTACCACTGGCTGGTGGGAGCCTGAAATCTAAGAGTTTTAAGATTTCAACAGTCTGTTTAGAAAACTGAACCGTGGAAAGAAATTATCACAAGAGTGCATATTCATCTTTCTTTGTGGAATTGTTTTCTCTGTACCTGAACAAAACAGAGACTGCAAAGAAGACAGATGAATTGTTTAACATGTGCAAGTGCAAGTACAAGGAGGAGTGTTTTTTTTCCCACTACATCCTCAAATTGACTTCTCCCAAATAAATGTACAAATCTTTCTAGATTATTACATATTTTTTCCCACCACTCTTGTGCTGTGTCAGCATTGGGCTGTGCTCTGGTTGCTGGTAAACAATGACAGACATTACCCTAAATACAACATAATTGTGTACCCCAGTCTAGCACAGCAGACAGGGTGGCAAAACCACTGGGTTTGCTGTTTTCACATGAAATAAATGACTTGAAAAAAAAAAAAGTTCATAATTTTCTGAAATTGCTGAACAACTGAAGACCATGTTCATTCACCTCCTCATCAGCAAATCCATTTACGACTGGCTGATTGTCCACTGAATCCTCAAAGCCATTGAGCTCCTGAAACAGCAACAAAACCATGATCATTGACAGTTTATAACATGCTCAGATGTCAAAACTCCACTCACTCGATCATTTTCTTAGTGTGTACTGGTACATAAGGTGTACATCACCTTGACGATATTCCAGAAGATGAACTTCCTAAGGCTGGTTTGAGAGTTCATGATAACAATTGTCGCTGCATTAACTTTAGTATAGTTTCAGCACAAACAGCCCTCGGCATACACGAGCTGGAAGTCCTCTGGATACTGATTCAATCTCCCAGTCTCCAGTACAGGTCACGAAATCTCCCAGATATGAAAGAAAGCGCTTGTAGTACAAACTTAACTCAGCTGATATTTTCCGTTTTTAGGGGACAATTATTGCATATCATATTAACACATTTTTGTGGTTAAATTGACAGTGCTCTACTTTGAACAACTGTTTTTGGTATTGAGAAGATGAAATTGGCGATCATTCTCATTTCTCTTTTTGGGCGGGTTGGCTTCTCTGGGGCCTTATAACCAGCCTCTGCCTTTTAGTCCATAGAGTTACTAACAGTGCCAAGGAAGCAGTACGTCATCTAAGCTACTGGAAAACCTCATCTCTCACAGCTAACCAAACTTTAGCCAAATACAGGCATTTGGCATTCTGTAGACATTCCAGGCATTCTGCAGATGCCCACTTGATAGAGATTTTTTTCATATGCAGTTATAAAAATTGTTCACTTGAGTTGAATTGTTCACTCCAAAAGTAAATTTTGGATACCCACTTTTAAAATTTTGGCTAAAAGCTTGCAACTCAAAACATTTCACTGCATGTTGGATGGAAGTTCTAATGGTTCTCAACAAAAATTCAGGGGCAAAGTAAATCCCGGAGGGAGGTGCTACTTGACCGGCATGTTTGGTTATAGGAGTGCCACAGAGGATTTGAAATGCTAACCCAGTTTAGGACGAAAATACTCTAAAAATTCAACCATGTGTACATGTAGGTGTACTTTGGTTCAATCCTTCTCTTTTCGATTCACAAAATGCTTTCAACTGATTTAACTAGGTAGTCCACTAATCCTTCAGTTAGGACTCTTAGCACAATTGAAATATGTACTACAAAACTTACATCACCCGATGAGTACTTTGATATTAAGCTTATTTTTTGAGAACAGAAATCACTAAAATTCTCAGTTCTGATAAATCGCACAGACCCTTTTTCTACCCTTAACGCAGGTTTTAGAATATTTTGGTTTGACAGTGTATATGTATTTACGATCATATTTACAAATTAGTGGCGGCTGAATCAAGGATCAAATGATTAGGCCTGAGAAGAATTTTGAGAGCAGCTACCTAGCCTTTCACATCATGTGCTGTCTGTCCATATCTGACTGCAAGGTAGATTTGCAATAACGTTTGGTGGCGAAAAAAGAAATGAAAATTAATCGTCTTTCAACGTTGATTTCAACGCTAACAAATGAAAGGCTTATAAAAAAGTAAGCGTTTTCTACAGCGCTACAACACGTCAAGCTACAGATTACTTTGTCGACAATATCACTGATAGACACTTAATTTAGCCCTAAATTGCATCAAAATTAAGGTCATGTAAAGCTTACGTCGGTCTCCGGCTGCCCTCCACCGAAATCCTCTCCCAGTTCAGCAAGATCATCTTGTTCTCTCGCTAAAAATTCGGCTGCGGGATCTTCCTGAAATTCGTCACTGCCCAAAAGATCCGCCATTTTGACACCGGAATGACTCGTGTAAGGTACGATACCCCGGATGTTGTTTCAACCAGCTCCCTTGGATCCCTGGGACTGTTTCCGCTAGTATGATGCGTTCTGGGAAATTTTGTTGCGTCATTACAGTCCCAAAATGGTAGGTTTCTGTTAGTAGAGGATTTTATCAATTATTTTCCAGGAAAGTTTCAGTAATCAGTTGTTTCCTTCGCTTCTCCTCAGACTAGCCTCATACTAGCAGGGCTTGGAGTAGCCGGAGCAGCGATAGCAGGTTTGTTTACTTTAAAAAATAACGTTCACGTTTGATGTTTGTAACAAAATGTGCACGTGTTGTCATTCGTCAGTTGTGTTGCATTATGTGTTTTTTACTTTAAAATCACGTGTTTCGTCTCCCGTTCTCAGGTCGTTATGCCATGGTAGCTTTAAGGAAGGTTAATTTCAACCAAATACCCAAAATTATTCCGAAAATACCGGTAAGTATTGTCAACTCCGTGCTTTGGAAAAACATTGCTTCTCTCAAGAAAATTAGAGCTTGGATGCTGATGTCACTTTAGTTTGTCATGTGGTTTCTCTCTTATCCAACCGTTTCACATGACGTATACAGTTCCAATTACACTGTCCAGAGTTACAACTGTGACATACAGTAAACACTGTACTATTTGGGTTAAAATCAGCCCTGGTGGTGATAGCCAATCACACTGGATTTTGCAAAGCACTAACCCCCGATCAGCTGACCCCCTACTGATGCCCTATAAAAACTATTAATGGGACCAATTCAAGTTCACAAATAAATTAAGCTTACCTGAAATTTCCAAAATTGCGCATTAATTGCAGATTTCCAACTCTCTCCTCCGGTGATTGTAAGTGCAGGTTTTGCTTATGGAAAACTGAGCACAGATTAAATTGGAATATCCTCAAGTATGTTATTTGCAGCCATTAGAAAATTAAGCAATGAAATTAATGAAGAAATGCTTGCAAAGGAACACACTTGCGGGCGACAAACAAAATCTGCACTTATGTAAAACTAGGAATCAAAGGAGAAGAGAGTCAGAAATCTGCAATGTGGCCACTGCCTTTGAAAATTTTAGGTAATGAACTTGGATCAGTCCTGTTGATAGTTTTGGGATTGTTTTAAATTTTCTTTTTCCCATTGATTTTATAGGAGGTCAGTAAGGGGTCAGTGTTTTGATGATACCCAATCACAGTTGTGGATTTTGGTTTAAGAGGTTAATCATGCTCATAGTTTCAAATGGACAGAGTACGCAGTGCTAGGTTGATTTGAAATTAAGAGCATGATTAGTCTCTGAATTGTAGGACATAAGGTCCAATTACTAATTAATCATATCAATAACAGATTTTGAGGTTAAAAAAGTTTATGAGAACTTCTTTTGAGCAAAAAAGTGAGAAGCACTCTCCATAAGTTTTACAAACTGAAGGCAATAGTACGAAGGAAGCCATTAAAGTGCATGCAATAATTTTATTTATTGATGTGCAAACGGCTTAGGTATCCAATTACAGAAAATTGTACTTGGATACCATCCAGTAATTGGAAACCGAGTGATCTCTTTTCAATTGTGAGTCAAATAGGCACAAGGAGAACCAATCAAGATCAAGAATTTTGCTGTAGATACTACTGTACATACAAGGTCCCATTGCTCGGCCAAAACCACCAAAATAAACCTTTAGTTTTTTACCATGTTGTTTCCTGTTTGGTGGAGCTGGAATACATGCATATCTCTATGTAAATGTTGATATCTGTTCTGTGTTTGGTTTGTAATTCATTTTTCACTTCAAGTATTGATCAAGTATTTGGCTAAGCATCCATGTACATGTTGGTTGAGCTTAATCAACTAACTGAACTGATAAGTAGAAAACTTTTTATTNTCTTCATTGCATTCTGAAACAGAAATTATAAAGGGCTTTAAAATTTTGATTAAATGCCCAATCATTGGCATCATTGGTAGTCCATCTTGTAAAATCATGATTTTATTGTAGTTTGATGTGCTGAGGAGATAAGCAAGATAAGTTAAGTTCCTTACCTGATGAGGCTGCTGAGAGGAGTTTAAGTCCTCTGAGAGTGTCTGCAATATCCTCCACCTTTTCTTTCCTTTCTACATCAACAGTAGCCCTGTTTTCTCCACAGTAGTCCAAAAACCTGCAAGCCATAACGTATGAGTTCATAATTTTGGCCAGACATTTCAAGCTAAAAGAGGTTATGCAGAAATCAACATGTCAAGCTTATTTCAGGTTAAACTGAGTGGAGATATCTTGTAGTCTTCATAGTGTGTTTTTAACGATTATCATGAACTGGACCTCTTTACAAAGTTTATCAAAGGCCATGCACTTAACAAAGTTGGATCTCAACCTGTTGGTACTGAAATATTTTTCGGAACAGCTCCTACCTTTTCCAGTTTTCGTCCAAACACAGCATGTCCGGGTTTCCTATTAAAATCAAGAGGGCCTGGGCACGAGTAATGGCTACATTGAATCTCTGAAAGAAAAAAGAATACAAAAGTTACGGAATTGAATCTGTTGTCTGTACACCCATGAGTTTAGATAAGATAAAGACAAGGTGCGCACGAGTGTTCGTCAATTTTTCAAACTCTTAACTAATTCTCAATCTGGATAAATGTTAAACGTGTAATTTGAACTTTTTCGACATTTGAGCACAATTGGTCCCATTAGATCATGCAAATACATAGTCTCTTTAAGAGAAACTGCTCAGAAGGTACTCCTACTTTTGGATTGTTTAGAAATCCAAGGTGGAAATCCTTGTCCATCTCTAAGTATTCCTTCTTGGTACTTCGGACAGTTGATAAGATGATCACTCTTCTCTCCTGTCCCTGAAACTCTTCCACGCTGCCAACTTTAATCCCAGGACCAAACCGTCTCTTTTCAATCATCGTTTGAATCTTTTGAACCTAACCAAGAAGCCGCAGAAACATTGTTAGCAATTACTCATTTGACGGACCGCAAAACAGTTTTCTTTTTCTCAGAACAAACGCAAGCAAAATAGGAATGTTTTACTGGCATATTTTCAATTTGAAAACAAGGTGGGGTTGTGTAGTAATCAGGAAAAAAATCACGTAGTTTTTTAATTTGTTCATGCCTTTTTGCAAAAGAGGGAATTAAAACGATAAAAAGGATTTTGTCCTCTAATCGACATGTTCGTGTTCAGAAAAGCCATCAAGAGAAAAACAACGTCACACATCCCCCTTGTGAATTGAGCGCGTCGCCGCAAAAACAGCATTGAGTGTTAATTTGATCAAATATCTCAGGATCTGCTTAAAAGAAACCGTAATCTGACGATTAGCGGATGCTCAAAACGGTAGCTGTTTAAAGTAGAAACCGTGTTAGGATAATTGTAGCCTCCTCTAGGCGTTCGGTTTGTTGCCTCTGGGAGAGAAGGGAGTAGGAGAAGGGAGAAGGGGTAACGCAAAGAGCGGCGAGTGTATGTAAAATGAGGCGAGAGATTTAAAGAGGCCTCGTAAGTGATAAATTAATGATTATTGGCATACTTGTCTCTTGTAGGGAGAAATAACTCCAATCATCTCTGGCCTCAGGTGTTTTAATCCTCTGCTCCTCACGTTATCGTCCAGCAGTTTCTTTAGATAGCGCTCAATAGTTTCCACCTCGGCAACGTTAAAGAATGAAGGGCTGCTGCCTTCTCTTTCGTCCTTGCCGTACACGGGGTGGAAAACGATGGGGAAGGTCTTGTTTGGCAGCTCCTCCCAGCCCAGCATCACGTTTCTATAGTAAGTTAACAAAGTCAAGACATGTCCATGGTCATGTCGAGTTTAGGGTTTCACCACTGAAATAGAAATCTGGCTTGATATGAAAGTCTCATTATTTTATAAACAATTTTGAGGCAATGGTTGATAAAGTCATGGGCAAATCAACTTCATGCTATGCGATTGGGCCGCCAAAAAGAGCCCTCTCTCGATGCATGTTCTGAAGCGGGTAAATATACATGAAATCTACGTTTGGTACTAGAGAGTGACAGCCATCCACCCCGCTTCCTGCTGATGCTTATTTCGTCATAAAGTAATGTGAAAGATCATAGATCTCACCTAAAATCTCCAGCGCATTCATTCAATTCATTGTCGTAAAACAGTTGTTTGGGAATCTCAATGATGGCTTTGTGTGAGCGGTAGTTGTTCACGAGCTTCGTCAGTAGATCCGAGTTGTAATTCCCTCTGCGTCCACGCGCGTACGCAGTGCATGACGTCATCAGACGTTCCAAAAGTGAGATTTCTGCAAAAATTCATTGATAAGATTTACCCCCCATCCACACTGTGTATGATAAATTTAAAAATGTGTTTTCACTCTGAAAAAGCATCAAATGTTTTCCGTCTACGCTATGCCAGAGAAATTTGAAAACGCAGGGTTAATCACATGGTTATCGTGACGTCATCGTTTTCGTAAAGCTCCGTTTTCAAAGTTAAATGTTTTCCGCCCACACCAAAACGGAAAGCGTCGTTTTCAAATTTTTCCGGTGTGAAAAGGCTCTGTTTTCGGTGAAAAATTTCTCCGGATTAGAGTGGACGGTAGGTAGGGCTAACCGTAGAAATAAAGCTGCGTTTTGTCTCCGGCGTAATTTTTACGGGGTCTGAGTGTGCAATGTACTTAGCGTGTACGCGTTGGTTGCTCGGAGAAATGGGTAAGTTTGATTGTCAAAAAGAGTGGAAGGGAGAGGTGAAAAAGGAATAGTATTGAACACCATTTATTTCATAGTAGTCATCGAAGCCGCTGTGACATACTCACCAAGACCATATTTCACTGAGATCGGTGATCTAAGAATAGGTCCCAACTGCTTGGGGTCTCCGGCGAGTACCAGCTGACCGCCCCTTGGATGATTAGGGTCCAGGAGATCCGCTACAGGGATGATACACTCGGGTTCTGTTGCATGCCCTGCCTCATCTATGAAAATGTGGCTGAAATGATTGCGAGGAAACAGTGCCGAGACCAACCTGAGAAAATAAGTGTGTAAATACGAGACAGCGTGACTTCCGTTATTCAACAGGCCATTTCCGAATTACCTTTAGTCTATTTCTCAAAGCGAGTCTTGGTGCTCATCCTTTCATATGAAAATATGATTTTATTCAGATGCAAATTACTGACTCATTTAAACTCTTGGTCTTCGGCCATCGTAGCTTGATTAAAAATATAAAACAAAAAGCGGTCATAAACATTTTAAAAACATGCATTTTATGAACTTGACGTTTCGTATGCTAGTCAACATACATTTTCAAAAGTATAACCGTTAAAATTTTTTGGAAAGCTATTTCTGCTGTATCAATATGGGGGTCTGGAACCTAGACAGAGAACATCTACAGTAGAAATTTAAGACGTCTCAAACGGAAACTGTCTGTAAAGTGACACAATGGAAAAGCTTTACTAATAAAGTAAAAGCTTTTCACTGCTGACATTGACATTCAATGCTGGCTGCAACTCCTGAATAAACAAAGTCTCCTTAACCTTACAATGGTAGTCAGTCTTGCCCCCCGTAGGGGGGGGGGCACTTCCATATATGGGCTATATAGGTATGTGCCGCTGTGTAGGGTATGGTTTTCAAGCAGTTTACTCTAGGATAGGGTATATAAATCAGCGCGTTTGGGTCTAGAATAGGGTATCATTTTTCACAACTGACTGGTTGGCTGAAGATTTTATCTAGAGTAAGGAAACCAGGAATTGCCACTCAAAAATATAAAAAAATCAAATCTGCAAGTTTAAATTTACGCAAATCAGCCCCAANGTTCACGAGCTTTGTCAGTAGATCCGAGTTGTAATCCCCTGTGCGTCCACGCGCGTACGCAGTGCATGACGTCATCAGACGTTCCAAAAGAGAGATTTCTGCAAAAATTCATTGATAAGATTTAGGCCCCGTCCACACCACGCATGAGAAATTTAAAAATGCGTTTTCACTCTGAAAAGCATAAAATTTTTTCCGTCCGCAATACGCCGGAGAAATTTGAAAACACCGTGACAACAATTACCGGCGACAGAAACGCTTGAGTGTACCCTTGAGGGTTAGGGTTAATCACATGATTATCGCTATGTCATCGTTTTCGACGAAGATCCGAAGGTCCGTTTTCAAAATGAAATGTTTTCCATTCACACTAAAACGCAAAGCCGCCGTTTTCGAATTCCTCCGGTTTGAAGAGCGTTTTCGAGAAGCTGCGTTTTCGGAGGACAGTTTCTCCAGATTAGAGTGGACGGCAAGTCTAACCGTATAAATAATTAAAGCTGCATTTCGTCTCCTTGAGGCCTTATGTGCCACGAGGCACAAAGAAGCTAGGTAACAGGTAACAGGCATTTCGTCTCCGGCGTAGCGTTGACGGGGTCTAAGTGTGCAATCTAGTTTGCGCGTATGCGTTGGTTGCTTGGAGAAATGGACAAGTTTTATTGTCAAAGAGAGTGGAAGGGAGAGGTGATCTTGAAAAAGGAACAGTAGTGACCGCTATTCCATCGTAGTCATCGAAGCCGCTATGGAATACTCACCAAGACCATATTTCACTGAGATTGGTGACCTAAGAATCGGTCCCAACTGCTTGGGGTCTCCAGCGAGTACCAGTTGACCCCCCCTTGGATGATTAGGGTCCAGGAGATCCGCTACCGGGATGATGCATTCGGGTTCTGTTGCATGCCCTGCCTCGTCTATGAAAATATGGCTGAAATGATCACGAGGAAACATTGCCGAGACCAACCTGAGAAAATAAGTGTGTAAATACGATACATCATGACTTTCGTTATTCAATTGGCCATTTCCGAATTACCTTTAGCCTCTTTCTCAAAGCGAGTCTTGGTACCGACCTTTTCGTATGAAAATGAGATTTTATTCACATTCAAATTAAACTCATTTTCATATGAATGGTTGTGCACCAAGCCTCGCTTTGATAGAGAGGCTTAGGTCAACTAGGAAATGGGCTATTCATTTTATTTTATTTTAACCAATTTTGTGCGGTACAATCTTATTTTTGAAGTAAGGCCATTTTAAGAAGCCACGACTTAATTAACCGCTGTGAACACCTTCACCACTTACCTTCCTGCGGTGATCAGAGTGGTGACGATTATGCGATAGTTGGCCATCAACTCCTCTCTCGACGGGTAGAATACGTCATGTGACACGGGGTCAAAATTCACCACTCGGGCGTCCTAATAAACACAGCATGATATATTAAAACTGACGATGATAATTCGCGGAGTCTGATTGGCCGAAAACCAATGTTGGTTTCTAAACTGAGTCGAGAGTCGCTAAATATCGCTCTTCCAACAGCGAAATCAGTTGCCCAAAAATTATGTATATTGAGGTAATTTTAAACTCTTTCACCTGCCCACAAACACAACACAAGGCAAGGCAACGCAGCGCAACGCAACGTAACACAAGGCAACAGTTTCGTCAGAAGCTAATCATAAATTGCATAGATGTCTTGATGTACCACCACATTATCAGGAAATTACACTGTCACAGAAAGAAGAATTAACATTTTGAAGTAAAAGAAATTTCACCTTTAACTTTTGTGGCACAAAGTCCCATGGTCTGGATGCAGCGTACATCCGGAATAATTTGCTTTTATCCACGTGAGCCAATAAACGTTCAGCCAACAGGTCAGCGGCACTGTTTTCAGGCGCACACGCAAGAATGAAACTCGAATCGATAAGGATGTGTACCTGCGTGTAAGAAAGAACACAGGAAGATACGTTTGGAGAATAAACGCGTGAATTGCCCACTTGTAACATCTTTAACGTAACCAGTTCGTGATTTTAGTTACGTTTTTTGAAACACGTACAGCACGATACGAATTAAATTCCACTGAATGAAGCAAGGTTGCTTCAAATGCAACCTCACTGCAGTACACGAACTGAAGTTGCTGAGTAACGCGACCCATCCTGATCAGGACCAAACTCTTGCGCAACTTTTATCTCTGATTGAATTATTACAACAGAAACCCCTCGGCATCTCACATTGTAAACGAAGATTACCCGACGACTGTCCGATTACCCGATTGCACCATGTTTATCAGCCGCGGGATTCAGGCTCATGTTCTAGAATCTTAGACAACTATAAATTGCGTAATGTTTAGTGTTTTGATGTTAAAGGAGGATTGGAAATGCCAAGAAGTACTACTGACTTGTTTGATAGCTTCTACCAAAGTAACAGTCTTTCCTGTTCCAGGAGGTCCAAACACCAAGTACGGAGCAGGGCGTGACGACCCTGACAAAATCTTCTGTACTGCCTGCTGCTGTTCACTGTTCAGATTGGGATCGTAGAAAGATCTGGAATTTGAAGTAACACCGATTACTTCACGCATAATTTTGAACAATGTAACCCTAAACGTTTTCAATTTTTCAAATTTTTAACTTGCCTGACTGTCTTATTGATCTCTCCTCTCTGATCGAGACTCTGCTCTTGCGGGAAGAGAACATGGCGCATTTCCTGTCTGGTTACTGCTGTAATCTGCTCACATGCCCGGTGTTCCATCTGTACTGGAAGCCGATTAAATGTGAATTGGATGTCATATTTTTGCCCTTTCACATACGGCATGCTAGAGAGAAAATACAAAAGTGACAACAGTTTCGTGTTTGTCATCGTTACGAGAGGTACAAACTCTCCAAACAGCCGCGCCGCACGCCGGACTCTTCCCTCTCTGGAACAGCATAATTATGTGCTTCCACCTGTCCCATCAAACNTATGCGCATGCCCGTAATTGAAGTTTTGCTCAATTTTGTACCTAATCCTCGAAAAAGCTCTCCTTTTAGCCAAAAAAGCTTTTTTAGCACAACTTAGGCTTATTTAGCGTCATGGCAGCTAAAAAACCTGACTAAACGGTTAAAAACGGTATTTTTTGGCAAAAGTTTGGTATTCAAAGGGTTAAAACAAAAGAGTAGAAACGATTTACACAAGATTTTAGACGCTTAGTAACAGTGAATACTATGGAGACCTATATAAGGTAATAAAATAATAACATTTTTAGGGGACTGTTGCTACGGGTTCATTTGGCTTGTTCTTGTTCTTGTTCTTGTTCTTGTTCAGGACGTCATTGATATTAAAAGTGATGATGCCCTAAAGGTAGCCATTTTGCAGCAAAAGCCTTTTGCAGCTTTTGAGATCCTCGACAGCGGATTGTAACAATTAAGCGGTGGAACAAACTCATTTTCATTTGAATGGTTTTGCACCAGGCCTCGCTTTGATAGAGAGTCTTAGGTCAACTCGGAAATAGGCTATTCATTTTATTTTCTTCAACCAATTTTGTGCGGTACAATCTTCTTTTTTGAATTAAGGCTATTTTAAGAAGCAATGACTTAATCCCTGTGAACGGTAAGGTTTGCTTTCTCTATGCGAGTTGCTTAATACCTTCTCCACTTACCTTCCTGCGGTGATCAGAGTGGTGACGATTATGCGATAGTTGACCATCAGCTCCTCTCTCGACGGATAGAATACGTCATGTAAGACAGGGTCAAAATTCACCACTCGAGCGTCCTGATAAACAAAGCATGCTATAGATTAAAACTGACAGGGAGTAAATTCGCGGGCTCTGATCGATTGGTCGAAAACCAATATTGATCTTCTAAATTGAGTTAGAAAGTCGCTAAATACCCCTCTTCCAACATAGCTAAATTAGTTGGCCCGAGCATTTTGTGTTATAAGGTAACTAAGTGTTAAACTACCCACCAACACAACACAACACAACAGTTTCTTCAGAAGCTAATCTTTAATTACATAGATGTCTTGATGCAGCACCGCATACTCAAAAAATTAAACTGTCAGAGAAAGAAGAATCAACATTTTGAATTTAAACAAAATTTCACCTTTAATTTTTGTGGTACAAAGTCCCATGGTCTGGATGCAGCGTACATTCGGAATAATTTGCCTTTATCCACGTGATCCAATAAACGTTCAGCCAACAGGTCAGCGGCACTGTTTTCAGGCGCACATGCAAGTATGAAACTCGAATCGATCAGGGTGTGCACCTGCGTGTGACAAATAACACAGTAAGGTATATTTGCGTTGTTGAGATCAATAGGTAATCTGGAGATTAAGTGTTTGAACTGCCCGCTTGCAAAATCGACAACCAGTTTACTACATTATATCACTACATTATTAATCAGGTGCAACATGACACGAATTACGTTTCAATGAAGTAGGGTTACTTCAAATGCAACCACACTGCAGAACATACTCTGAAGTTGCTTAGTAACGATTGCTGGGCAACGTGACGCATCCTGATTAAGACAAACTCACATGACAGCTTTCTGAAATCTCGTTTTACCTGTGATTGAATTATAACAACAGAAACTCTTTGGCCAGTTAAACGAACATTACTCCTGCACGATTCTTATTCTCCACAAATTCAGCTGCAGGAGGTTGATATTAGAGAATCTTATACAGCCATACACTGGGTATTTTTTAGTGTTTTGATGTTAAAGGGAATTTGAAATGCTAAGAAGTACTACTGACCTGTTTGATAGCTTCTACCAAGGTAACAGTCTTTCCTGTTCCAGGAGGTCCAAATACCAAGTACGGAGCAGGGCGTGACGAGCCTGACAAAATCTTCTGTACTGCCTGCTGCTGTTCACTATTCAGATGGCGATCGTAGAAAGATCTGGAATTTAAAGTAACACTGATTACTTCACGCATAATTTTAAACGATATAACCCTAGACGTTTTCAAGTTTTTAACTTGCCTGACTGTCTTATTGATCTCTCCTCTCTGATCGAGACTCTGCTCTTGCGGGAAAAGAACATGGCCCATTTCCTGTCTGGTTACATCTGTAATCTGCTCGCATGCCCGATGTTCCATCTGTACTGGAAGCCGATTAAATGTGAATTGGATGTCATATTTTTGCCCTTTCACATACGGCATACTGGGGAGAAAATACAAAAGTGACAACAGTTTCGTGTTTGTCGTCGTTACGAGAGGTACAAACTCTCCAAACGGTCACGCCGCACGCCGGACCCTCCCCTCTCTGGAACAGCATAACTATGTGCTTCCACCTGTCCCATCAAACTTAAACAAGGGGAATAACGAGTACACCTGGAACAGTTTACACAAAGTAGCATTTAATGGTTACTCGGGAGCTTCTCTCCTTTTGTCGCTAGCCAGTAAGCACGAAGGCTCTGGGAACAATAAGTACAGTGCTGCCCTATACGTGATGTAATGACATACGTGCCTTGTCAAATCAAACCCAAGTTTTACATTCAACAGTTGAACCTTGTGTACGATTCCTTCGTATCGTCGCTGTAGCACGCCTGGTTGGTAAGCAAAGATTCTGTCACCACGTAATACGGACGGACGGTTCTCAGCAAGACCTGGTACCTAAACCATCAATGAAACGTCATATAAGATAACAAAACTGAAATCACAAAAATCATTAGGATCCATAATCTATCCGACGATAGCCTTTAACGCTGATGCGTTTTTGTATGAACAGCGTACGCCTCAGAAACTATGATATTTTTACATATAAAGATTTAAAGAGACAGTATGAAACTACAGCAAATAAAGTGGGCGTTACTAAAATCACTTATTGCTTTCGCCTCTTACAGGATATTTCTTCGTTATAATGTGTACGCGTATCTAGGATTTAAGAGTTTGTTGGACTCGCGCCGGGCAATTTCAAGGGGACCATTATTAAACAACTTGCACCAAAATCGATTGTGAACTGATTCAGTGAAGGGACCTGGCCTCCAACAGGAGTAAGAATACAGTGAAAGAAGATTCTGTAACGACTGAAGTCCCTAACCGGTGGCTAACCTCTAAGATGAGGAACCGTCTGTCTCCTCTTTCCTGCTGAAAAACGACTCCTTTCATGTCATAATTCCTGATGTCCTTTTGCATTTGAAGCTCTTCTATATGCAGAAGTATACTGAACTTTTCTTGGTAGTTGTCGAAATTCAACTTCTTTTCCAATCGCTCCCTGATTGAAACCAATAAAAGCTATATGTGAGTCGAAATGTTCCTGCGCGCTTTTCGGTTCCTTTTACTGATAGAACACAGGTCACGTTTCCTTACTTGCGACGCTCGCGTCAGCTGAATAATCTATCGATTTTGTTAGCTCTGTACCACCTTACTACTAGAAGTGGTTTGGAGATGTCAGTTCAGGTCGTGACTGATCGCCTTTTGGTCGAGGATACCACCACCTTCCCTCGAGGTGCCTTCCCTTCCCTTCCACTCCCTTCCCTTCTCTTCCCCTCCCTTCACTTCACTTCCCTTCCCTTCCCTTAGAAGTATCAGAGACCTGTTTCTACATTGGAAGGTCTGTGGGTTGAGGTGTTTTTCTGTAACTTGATGCTACGAACACTGAGTCGAATAAGTAATGTGCGAGAGAAGGAGGCGGGTTCAATGATGGAATGAGCCTTCCATCGCCTTATCACTATTTCCTTTCTACACTCGCTCACGTTTTGTACTTCTGATTACTTTTTAAGAGAGGGACATTTGCTAAGCTAGACTTGGGTCTGTTACTTATTTACGGAACATCTTACCTCAGTCCCTCTCGAACTTGATTACTCTTGACAACCTGGGCCTTGACAGTGAGAGGAATTTCGTAAGGGTTTAGCTTTTGCATGACCAGACCATTCCTCGTTAACCTGCAAGATACGGCCGATCGACCAAAATATTTGAACTCAGCTCAGTGGAAAAACGCATACATGCAGCAAGTCGCATCTGATTCACAGGTTTTCCTGTCTAAGCTTGGATTCAGTGATTCAGTAGCTTGTCAAGCGAATTTATTCCATAAAGTTCTCAAACTCATTAATAATGCATTAAGTTAAAACAAAGAAAATCACAACCGTGAAGGAGGTTTGGATACCCGGTCTTAATTTGCATAGATTTTGACGATTTTTGACGAGTTTAGTTTACTCCTTAGTTTTTGTTTCGATTGACATCATATATCAAACACTCGAGACAGTGTTTCATCGGCTATCCGAACACCTCGAATTTCGTCAAAAATACTCCTCTGCGCGTCGTATTTTCAACTTCATTCTCGGTGTTTGGATATCCCAATGAAACACTGTCTCTCGTGTTTGATATATTACGTCAAATATTAGGGCGCACTAAATTCCTCCGCTTAAACTCTTCGTTACAGCTGGCGATGCTTTTATTTCCGGTGTTTTTACTTCAACTTACGGTGGAAGAGGTATGCCTCGTGTGGTCACGACATCCCTGGGAATCTCTGATGCTCGCTGGGGAGGTCTGTACTCAGAAGTCTGCTTCAAATCATCGTACAAGTCGCTAACAATGCGCACGGACAAAAATCTCAAGATGTGAAATTCCTCCATGCCGTCTTCAGTCTCGAACGTGAGTACACCAGGAACGTAAGAATAACCATACTCCCTACGGCGCTTGCAGCCGATCCTGAACCTTCTTTGACAACCTGCAGAGGATAGATAGTAGAGTTACACTCCAACAACAACAACAACGAGAACACCAGAACAGAAAAGCAATGAGAACAACAGCAACAATGACCATGCCTGATGCTGTATAATTGAGACAGACGTGCATAAAGGTATTCAAAAACATAGAGTTCTCAAGGAAATATCGTGCAAACCCAACCAACATTCCTGAGTATAATTTGTATGCTTAGTTGGCCTACAATTACTAGACATGACAGTTTAAGAAAGGTATTTTTGTGCTTGCTTCAATTTTGCATCAAACCGCCATTAAACTAAAAATCAAGATACTCCAGCGATCAATGATAGAAACAAGCTTTCATAAGCAATGACAGTCATGACGATTTGGTTTTCTATAACCCAAGATAACATAGCATCCTCAGTGCTGTTAATGTTGTTCCCTATTCTGTTCTTTTGAATTGAAGTTTTACGAACAAATGTAGTCGCTAGCATTAGCATTGGTAAACAAAAGCTAAAGTAAGCCACGAATTACCTGAAAGAAGCTGACCCTCACAAGGTCCAATACGGGAAATCTCCGAGTAATCAAAGAAATTGATGCTCCACAGTAGAGTGATGTGCTTCAGAGTGATTATCTCGTCGCTGGTGTTTTCTATGACCAGCACTATCTGGCCATATTTCCCGCTCTCAACTCTTAATTCTATCACTCCACTTTCGTCTCCAATGGGATCTGAAGTGAGTTTTATCCCGTGTTTGTCANACAGCTGGCGATGCTATTATTTTTAAGTGTTTTTACTTCAACTTACGGTGGGAGAGGTATGCCTCGTGTGGTCACGACATCCCTGGGAATCTCTGGTGCCCGCTGGGGAGGTCTGTACTCGGAGGTCTGTTTCAAATCATCGTACAAGTCGCTAACGATGCGCACGGACAAAAATCTCAGGATGTGAAATTCCTCCATGCCGTCTTCAGTCTCGAACGTGAGTACACCAGGAACGTAAGAATAGCCATACTCCCTGCGGCGCTTGCAGCCGATCCTGAACCTACTTTGACAACCTGTAGAGGATAAATAGTAAAGTTACACTCCAACAACAACAACAACAACAACAACAACAGTAACAACAACAAGAACACCAGAACAGAAAAGCAATGAGAGCGACAGCAACAGTGACCATGCCTGATGCTGTATGATTGAGACAGACGTGTATAAATGTATTCAAAATCCGTAGAGCTCTCAAGGAAATATCGTGCAAACCCAACCAACATTCCTGAGTATAATTTGTATGCTTAGTTCGCCTACAAGTACTAGAGATGACAGTTTAAGAAAGGTTTTTTGTGCTTGATTCAATTTTGCACCAAACCGCCATTAAACTAAAAATCATGATACTCCAGCGATCAATGACAGAAACAAGCTTTCATAAGCAGTGACAGTCATGACGATTTGGTTTTCTATAGTCCAAGAAAACATAGTATCCTCAGTGTTGTTAATGTTGTTCCTTACTCTGTTCTTTTGAATTGAAGTTTTAAGGAACAAATGTAGTCGCTAGCATTAGTAAAATTCAAGCTTAAGTAAGCCACGAATTACCTGGAAAGAGCTGACCCTCACAAGGTCCAATACGGGAAATCTCCGAGTAATCAAAGAAATTGATGCTCCACAATAGAGTGATGTGCTTCAGAGTGATTATCTCGTCGCTGGTGTTTTCTATGACCAGCACTATCTGGCCATAT